TATTTGGCATTCCTTATAAATAAAAGGGTTGTCTTTTTTTCCTGTTCAGTGAGGGGAAAAAAATCCAAATGCTGAATCACTTGGATGTGGGGATTAAAAAACATACATAAGATACAAAACTGTTCTTGATTCTCCCCAAGATAATGAAAGAGCAGCATTGGCCAATAATGTCAGGCTGTAGGTGCCTTTACCGACTCTGCTAGGATTTTGTTGCCTCAAACACATAATTATCATTATTTTCCTATTAACCCGAGACTGAATGGGCTAATAAGAGAGAAGTCCTCAGACAGGTTCCGGAATGTACCTTACCCTATTGTGTTGGGTAAATAACATGGCATTATCCAAAAAGGCTGCAATTAGAGTCGAATTAAAAACCCTCTCGATGCGTTTTTCTAGCAATGCAAACGAGCTCTTTCGAAATCAGCCATAGGAAGAAAATAGCCCATCACGGTCTGGCTTTGTCTGAAACGGAGCTGCCACCAAGCTGCTCTCTCCCAAGTATACCATTTTTCTACTTCAGCCTCATCTGCCTTGCCCAGTGTAGGCCTCTGGTATTTGACATTGCACACAGGCGGCAAAGGTGTCACTACAGTTCTTTGTTCATTGTACATCTACCTAGAGTGGTCCTCAGGAAAAAAAAAAAACACCAGATGTTTTATGTCCCAGTAACTCCCCTATTTTTGCTGTATAGGTAGTCCTCAACGTATGATCACAATTGACCCCCCCAAAATATATGTTACTAAATGAAACATTTGTTAAGCGAGACACTTGTTAGATGAGTTGTGCCCCATTTTACAACCTTTCTTGCTACAGTTGCTCAGTGAATCATTACGGTTGTTAAGTTAGTAACGCTGTTGTGAAGTGGAATCTGGTTTCCCCCACTGACTTTGCTGGTCAGACGGTCGCAAAAGGGGGATCACATGACCACGGGATGCTGCGACCATCGCAAGTAGGAACCAGTTGCCAAGCATCCGAAATCTAATCACGTGACCAAGGGGATGCCGTAACAGTCGTTAAGTGTGAAAAGTGGTCCTAAGTCATTTTTTCTTCAGTGCCGTTGTAACTTTGAGTGGACTGTTGTAAGTCGAGGACTACAAAATTCCCGTTATTTAAAAGGACGGTCCTCTCTACAACCATCAGCTCTTTCCCTTTACGGGGAAAACCGCCATTCACTCCAACGGCAGAGAGAAGCAAAAGCAGGATTCCCACCTTAAGAGCGCGACCTCTGCTTTACAGCTGCCTCCCCAGACGGTATATACGCGGTTATTCCTGCTGCTATTCTGTCCCCCGTTGAAGATTTAGGCGAAAGAGGAGAAACGCACATAGAAAACCAGGCCCCCGGGAGCCCCCCGCCGCCGCGTTAAGTTTCCTGAACCAGGCAAGAAGGCGGTCGATTAAAAGCCCTCCCTAGCAACAAACATATACTGCTGCTACGACGACGAGAAGGAAGGTCGATAGGGTACAATTCTCAGCAACCCTGGCGTCTTAGTAGGACTGCCGGCAGCCCCTTCCCTTCCCTCGCCTCGCCACCTCCGTACTGCGCCACCAAACGGCAGCCAGCAAGCGCCCCATCACTCATCGCGTGCTCCTTCGCCTCTTAAGTTTTCAGCCCCTCCTCATTAGGAGCGAAGGCAGCCATCCAACGGGAGGAAGCACCAATAGGGAAAGCGTTTTTCCCCGCCCAACTTGCCTCCCGAGTGAGGACGACAAATGAAGGTTCTCCTTAGCAAACAGACGCCGGGGGGGGGGGGCGGGCTCATATCGACTGCGGCACACACAACGATTAAACCGAGAACGCTTTTAGCCTTCGGCGCCAGGCGATGCTATTGTATCTGAACTGCGAATACCCAGTAAGCCCAATACGTGTACAGTAGGCTAGGGGAAACATAGCTCAGATCTGTGCACCTAATGAAACTATGGGCAAGTTAACCAGAGAGAGCCGAAGAAGCTTCTTGGGTGAAAAGCTTCTTCAAAGAAAAACCAGAAAGTCCAGTTGCCTCTTGAAAACGCACCTTTGGGTCAACCATGACCTGGATGACGGAGAATCTCCGTTAGACATTTAACCAGACATAGGCCTGTCTTTTGAATATAGCATTTTTTCTTAATATGGAAGGCACCGACTGCTGAGTGGTGGGTGTCGTAGGGGAAATTAAGAGGCAATTCTTCTATCCTCAGATCAAGATATCCCGTATAGAAACTCGGCCGGCCACCACGCTGTTTTCTTCCCAAAACAAGGGATTGGAGATATAAGCACCGCCATTGCCGCGCTTAGGCAGAATTCAATGATTTTAGATAATACGCCTCTCCACCATAAGAAATTACAAGGTTTAAGTTCGTCTGTCTCTTAGACCATTGGGATCACGTAGCAAAATAAGTTACATTGTAATTTCTGAATAGCTCGCAAGAACAAATGTAACCTCGGAAGTCAGCGCGGCAAATCTGAAAATTTATTCCCTTGTCGTTACTTGGAGATTCACACTTACATCCGACTTCGGATACAAACTACAGATGGTTTGTTCTGGAAACGTTATCACTGCATGGCTGTGGAGATTCTCAGTCATCCAGGTCACGCTTGTCCCCAAAAGGATTTCTTTGAAAACGTTTCGCTTCTCATCCAAGAACTGGAGAAGCTTCTTGGGTGAGAAGTGAAACGTTTACAAAGAAAACACCAAGAAAATCCAAATTGCCTTTTTTCGGGGGGGAAGGGGAAATACCTTTGGGTTATTACTGCACGTCGCAATGCATCCATTTCTGCCTTGTTACACCGCACCCTTCGCCATGCCAGATCAATATGTCGCGTTTTCCTTTTTTCCAATTAAAAATGTTGCGCCACTTGGGCTGTGTTCTCCCCAACACGCTTGCCTATAGTTTGCTTGGTTACGGTTTTCTCACCTACCCAATTTTCTATGACTGGGGCAAGATACCGAGCGGTGAATTCATCACAAGTTCGTGATTCAGCGGGTCGTGATAACAAACCTCCACCCGAGTGTGTTGCCTTAGACCAGTGTTTCCCAAACTTGACAATTTTAAGGCATGTGGACTTCAACTCCCAGAATTCCACAGCCAGCGTTGCTGGCTGTGGAATTCTGGGAGTTGAAGTCCTCATGCCTTAAAATTGTCAAGTTTGGGAAACACTGCCTTAGACCGCGGACACACGAAAGTGGTAAAATACAAGCAGGCGTGGGTGTCAGGGAAATTGCGGGTGACCATTGCGGGTTTCGCTTTGCAGTGGGTGTGGTTTCCTTGTTGATGAAGCTTCTGGGGTCTCAAGAGGGCAGCCTTAAGGGAGCAGACTTTTTTTTTTCTTTAGGAAAAGCCCGGTGCCCCAAGGCGCCTGGCAGGACCTTTTAGAGCCTCCCTCTTGTCCTCTTCAACAGCCCCTGAGGCTGGGGAAAGAGCGGCGCTAGGACCTCTGGTTTCCCTCTTTAATGAGCAGCGGGCAAGCGCGTCTCGGCAGCGGCCAAGCACGTTTTGAGCCCGGAATCCTCGCAGGATCTAATTAACAGGTAGATTCGCTCCCTGGGTGCCTGAAACCTCTTGCCAGACACCATAGAAACGAAGCCTTAAGACCCCGCGCCATCTGCACGCTTTCCTTTCTTTCTGCAAAGCCCTCGGAAGTCACTTTCTCTTTTCCTCCCGGTTCGTACAGAAGGCGGCTCAAGCACTCTATTCGCTTGGCCATCAATAATAGGGTAGCTGCTTTTTTTAATGGGGGAGAGAGGGTCTCTTTTGTTCTTGTTGTTTTGCAAGCGGAGATAATTAAGAATAAAATACTCAGCCAGTATCAGCCATAGTCAGAAAGATCTACTAGGGCAACCTGTGATTTTTTATTTTTTTTTTTAAAGTAGAATCTCCCCCCCCCCCGCTGAGCAACTATGATCGGGAGAAGAATCCAGGGAGAGAGACGAAAGGTGAAGTGATCCAACAAGCAAAGACGTGTTAACATAAATCCTATTCCATAAGAGCTGCAAAAGCAGCGATAATATGCCCTTTAGAAGCAAACGGGAGAAAAAAAAAATAGAAATATATTTTTATATTGGGATTATATACCTCTAGTCGAATAATAGTAATAGTTGCAACATATAAGAAGGCGGCAATCATAATGGTTTGAAAATAAGGCTTTGTTAACTAAAACCAAGCCAACGCATTCTGGGCTGGTCTCCAGAGATGGTCGATACCCCGCCTTCTCTCTCTCTCTTTCTCTCTTTCTCAAAAAAAAAAAAAAAAAAAAAAAATCTCTCCCAACAATATAAATCATTGCTGTGGAGTGGATTAGGTTAGAGAACGTGGCACACAGAACCCACAGGATTAAAGTGTGAGAACCCCGTAATGATGACCTTTCGAGAATAAATCGAAAGGCAGCCCCAGTGACTTGAAGCAGGGCCAGTGTACAAACTAACGGGTTTAGGAGTGCAAACGTACAGTATTTGGCTTACGTGGGAGCAATCCCATTGAGATAAAATGGTACTTTAAGTCATCCGACGTTAAAGACCAATCCTGCGCTTTGAATTGTTTCAATAGAAGAGGGAATTTCAAACAGCGGCCGACTGGCCTGAGCAGTTTAAATACGATTTACTATTATTATTATTATTATTATTATTATTATTATTATTATTATTATTATTATTATTATTATTATTATTATTATTATTATTATTATTATTACTCAGAGGACAGGTCCTGTCCTCGATTTGTATCGGCTTCCTGACTTGTCTTGGCAACAAACAGCAAGGGAGAAGCGAAGGGCCTTCAGAAGAAATGGAGGACCCAGGTTGTCTGCTTCTCTCTTCTCGCAAGGAGTGCTGTCATCGAAGGCAGGCATTTTGCCCCGCCCCCCCGTTCGCAAAGCAGAACCGGCGAAGAAGCCCAAATGTGCGCCCCGTGGGGTTGCGCACCAGCCCCCCTCCCCCCCAAAAAAACACACAGTGTAGTGCGAGCGAGACTACCTTGACTTCCACACCGCACCTGGAGAAGAGATAGACGTTGGCTGCTGCGCTTACCTGTTAGCTGCCAGCCTGGATGAAATATAGCCCCCGGGGATCTGCGTGATTATATACCCCCAGAAAAAGGAGCCATGGATCATGCCGACCGTTTCTGGGTCCCAGTTGAACTTCGCTTCCTTCCAAAGTGATAAAGGAGAGAGAGGGAAGAGAGAAAGAGAAAGAGAGAGAGAGAGGGTTGGTGGTTAAAAAATAAATAAAAATCCGGGCTAAATCAAAGCATTTCTAAAGAGAGGTTGAGGCGGGGGGGGGGGGGAATCTACGGGATTATAGTATCCGTGGATGTCTGCCGCAACCACATGGAAGCTTATTTAGCTACATTCAACAAATATCCCAAGTCGTTTGCCTCTTTTTATTAATGGTCGGCTTGCACCAGAAGTAGAGTCGTTAGGATAGGATATTAAGAGCCCAATGATTGCAATTGTAATTATAATTGATTCTTGTCTGATTGTTTATTTATTTATTTATTTGGTAACCTGCCGGGGGCGGAGGATAGAGGGGTCTTTATGACACATCCACACGTCCTGACTAGGCTGACCGATAGACAGACAAAAATGCCAAAGTGGCTGTGATCCTACTCTGAAAGGAAGATCGCGCGCGATTCCACCAGCTGAGCAATTGCTTGGTCTGAGCCAAATCGCTTGGTCTGAGTCAAAACCAAATGACGGACACTTGTCTTCGTCATTTATTGACTCGGATCTATTCGTGATGGATGGGGAGATCTAATTTGTCAATCTCGGCTATTACTCAACATGGTTATGCCTGCATTTTCTCCTTGGGGAAAATGTTCGCTTGCATCAAGGTTTTACCTTGATCTTGTGCGCGCCAACCCCTCGGATTCTTCCACCACCCCAAAGCTCCAAGTTTAGGGACCTCTTGCTGTAGTAGGTTATCTGGATTTCCCCATATCTTAATAAAGGTCCCTTTCTCCCCAATTCGCTTTTCCTATGTATGTATGTATGTATGTATGTATGTATGTATGTATGTATGTATGTATGTATGTATCTCGAGAACTCCAACGTTTCCCAACTTTTTCCAGGCTTTTTCGATATTTCGTTTTTTTTAGGTGAATGAGTTTTCGTAATCATTATTTATTATTGATCTAAAAGAGTAGATGGGCCGAGATAATAGCTACATCCTTGTCCCACGTCGATTTTGAAAGGGGGGGGAGAGTTGTCCCTAAGACAGGGGTTCTCAACCTTGGCAACTTTAAGACTTGAGGACTTCAACTCCCAGAATTCCTCAGCCAGCTTTGCTGGGAGTTGAAGACCACAAGTCTTAAAGTTGCCAAGGTTGAGAACCCCTGCCCTAAGACATTCCCGTGTCAGGTTTAGCACCTGGGACGCCTCTTAATTCAAATAAGCGCGGGGCGAGGGGTTTGCTAGCGGGGCCGCCCCGTTTACAAAGGTACGATCTATCTTTCAATCCACTGGCGCTGCAGTCCTGCGAATTATAATAAACCCGGGTAGAAGTACCATTTTAATCCCTGGAACTTCAACCAACACCCGCGAATGGGGGAAGACGTTGAAGTCTCCTTTTAGGGGCAGACTGAGGTCTCCTTTGGATCGCGCTCGACTCCTGACGGCTTCATGACCCGGCCATGCGGATTGGATGGCAACAGCTGAGTCGCGATTTGTTATTTCCTTCTTCCAGAGGTGGTTCGGTTGCCTTTTGTAATCTAGCCTATAGTCCTGGGATTTCCTGAGCTTTCCCCCTCCTCTCGCTAACCACGTACTATTCCAGGTAGCCTTTTTTCAATAACGTCCAAGGTTGGGAAAATGGATCGCTATCCCTGAAGAAGAGAAAGGGTGAAACGTCTTTGCACTGTTGCCTCGAGGTCAACAGAAGCCCAGCTGAGTTCGAAGGTGTTTTCACTTTTTTAAAAAGCATTTTATTTTGATCTTGTGCAGTAGAATGTGGAGGTTTGGTTGAGTGTCAGTGAGCGAAGACGGGTGTCTTAACAGCTGGGGTGATCTGGGCTGAAGTCCAAACAGTCTCCTGGGAGGCTTTGTGAAAATAATAGGGAAATAGGGGAGGACTCCTACACAGGGAGCTTCTTGAGAGGCGAAAGAAGGGTGAGGTGATGAAAGGTGGGGTGTGTTTATTTAATTCGGACCAGGGACCAGGCTGTCATTAACAGGAACAACAACAACAACAACAAAAGACAACCAATGTGAGGAAAACTCACTCACTGCTATGGGAAAAGGCAGAGGAAAAAAAAGGGGAGGGGGGTGGAAGCAAAAAGCAAGAAAGGTGAAGAGGGAACTCCGAAAGCACCCTTGTTTGACCTCTACTTTGTAATGCTTTGCATCGTGTTCTAAAGACCCGCCTCTTTTCCTCCAACATGGGAATAATTCAAACCACCACCTAAAGGGTGATATGTAGAACCTTAGCTTCCCAACATGGATGTCGGGAAAGGCATTCGGGAATCATTCCCCGGCTATCTGTGCGCAGAGGAGGAGGAGGAATCTTCCTGGAACTCGCTCACCTCTTTGATGATTTTCCCCCCTCGGTGGATGGTGCTGTTGTTGACCATGTCCACGATGGCTACTCCAAGGTTACAGCGGATTCCAAAGGAAATGCAGAAACCCAGTCCGCTCATGATAGCGATGATGTATCGCCGAGGCAACCCGAAGCAGGTGCAGTCGCACAAAGGTGCTTTCTTCCCGGGCACTTCCAAGGGTTTGCCATCTTCCGTCAACTCGATATTGTCCTCTGGCTTCTGCTTTTTTTCTAGGGTTCTGTCAAATCAAAGAAGAGAGCTCAGTCAAGGGATCTACTTGCTTACTTGGGAAGGGCGATGGGGGGAGGGAGGGCTTGTAATACTCTCTTTCAATCGTGAGTGTGGATATGTTGCCCTGAAAAGAGTGATGTGATGTGATGTGGACTTAGAGCTTGATGCAAAACAAAATATTCCTGATAACTATTGGTAACTCTAGGTTAAAAAAAAAGGGAGGGGGGCTTCCAAACAGGTACCAAGTATTTTCCTACTTGATGTATAAACAGTCAGTCCCTACATCCCAGAAATGTATGAGGTGAGATTAAAATAAGTCTGATTTTTCGTCCTACTTCTTGAAGGGCATGGAAGTGGATGAGATTAAAATATTAATTATTAAGATTTCCCAAGTAATTGGTAGTAATTCCAAAAGAGAAATTAAGAGTCTTAGAAGAGCAGGACAGCCACTTTCCCCTCCTCAGAAGATAGGCTAACTGGATAGTTTTCTCAAGAAATCCAAAATCATACCCAACTGTATATACTTCAGAGAAAACCAGCCAAATGGTCTTTTCAAAAAATAAATTTAATTTTAATTTACTATTTCACACCTGCCAAATTTTAGGGAAGGTGCTAAGATGCAACTCCTTCCATGGCTACAGAGGTGCTCTTTATTAGCAAACCCCATGGAGACTTGGTCTTCTAGCTTTAATCATTCTATAAATAGTATGGCAAACATGAAGGGGAAGCACGCAAGTCTAGGTATTCCCAGTGGGGAATCTTACTTGTGAGAGAGCTAATCTACACAATTGGCAGGTGTGTGGTAGTCTTTCAGAGCTCAAAATGGCTGTCTGCCACTTTTCCATTGGAGGAAACCTTGCATCCAGGCATTTCCTGCAAATAAGTCTGTTTGCCATTAGAATAAGATAGAAAGCTATCCTATCTATTAATAAGAAAAGCTTCGTCCCATGATGAGTCTACTTGGCACTAAGCCCATTTGAGTTGAATGAGACTTCCTCCAGGTGAGGGTGTATTTAGAGGATTGCAGCTTTAAGCAGGTTTGATTTGGTCTTCCCTCCACATTAGAGCTAAAATAAAAATAAATTGATGCTTTCAAATTTCTCTGGCTTTGACATGCAAAGTTTATTTCACTGTGTACATGGCAGTGACCCAAACATACAGTTGGCATCTTTTTGAGTTGGCCCGTGCCTTTTAAATTTTTTGTTATCTTCCCATCAAAGGCAAACAATACCCTTTCAAGAAGAGAAATCCCATGGATATCAGATGGAAGCATTTCTCCCGACCCTTCTTTTGCTTTGTGCAACCGACCTCCTATGGCTGACATCTTATTCTGAATTTAATAATTCAGAATAAGAGAGTAACAACAATTCCTGGGAGAATTAGGATATTGAAGATGGAGTCACTGTGGACAGAGCAGAAGTTGTGAGTTTTTCTTTACAGCTTTTCTCTCAGCTAAGATTCACTGTCCGATAGTTAGGACAAAACTCTCCCCATCCTGAATCTATGATAAAAATCGAATTTCACAAAGTGTTCTGCTCTGAATTACAGTAGCAGAACGCAACAATCAAATAAACCATTCTAATTTATCCTGGTAAGCACAAACATCGGACAATATTCAGTTTTTGAATTGTCTTCCCCTGTTCTCTCCATGACAAATAAAAGCTTTCCCAGTTGAGTTTGGTGGGAGAAAGCAAAGAAAAATCTGTTTTAAAAAAACCAGATAGCCTTATCAGAATTAAGGGAAGAAAGAACCTCCTTTCCCAAGAACGAATAGTTTCTATTCCAAATATGAAATTAAATATCCCAGGATAGTTTCATACGATTGACTGCTGGGTAATCAGAAAGGTAGTATATAAATTTCAAAAAACTGTCATGTTTGTGTGGGTGTGCCATTTAAAAATGTGTAAATACATGTTAAAGATGACAGCAGAATATTAAAATTGAATAATAATAATTAATATTAATAAAGCTTATTCTTCGTTTGTTATTTAAAGCAACTTAGATGATTTGTGACAGATGTGATAAATGGGTGGTATAGTCCTCCCTTCCTTCCTGGACCAATAGTAGATTCAACTCCCACACAGAAATTGTAACATGCCTCCTAGATATTTATACCATTGAAACTGTGGATAGACAATAGGAATATTTTCAGTGTTGTAACAAGGGTTAGAATTGCCGCAATGGAAGCTTTGTTGAATAAATGCTACAGCTGACCTTTCTCTGCAGGTCTACTCCGCCATTTTGACATAGAGAAGTTTTTTTTTTTAAAGATATTTTGCTCTGTAAAGATTTAAGATTATAATAAGGTATATTCACACATAACTATATTTCATAGCTATAGAAAATTATGTTGAAATTACATTCATTTGTTTAATAATCATAGATATTATTAATTGTGCTACAAAAGATTGGCCTCTTCTGCAGATAGATTTACATATATGCCCCATTATTTTCCATATATATATATATATATATATATATATATATATATATATATATATATTCTCAAAAAAGGATACACAGATGTTTGATGTGATTTTTTTTCTAGTCTCTCTTTTGAGCATGTTTAAATTAACTAGAGAAAAGGCATTCATTTATCAATTATTTATGATCTCTATGTTTTTTCTCATATAAAAAGATCATTCATGGGGGACTCAGCAGTGCAGATCAAAACTCTTATTTATTCATCTTTTGGGGGGGGAAATGGAAAAGAAAAGATGGGGGAAAGGATTTCCTATTAGTGCTTAGTTGTGCTCTTTTTCAGGCGAAGGTATTTTCCATTTCAAAGCATAAATTACCCCTCCCCCATATACGTTTGTCTGAAAAACATTCTGACATCTCAGAATTGAATTACCTGATTTTTAAAATTGGGGTTCTAAGGACACATCTCTTACTGAAACCAAATTTGTCCTCTTACAAACAAGTTTGTTTAGAAGAAGGTGTTACATACTTAAATCTAATATACAAAACGTCCTCCCTCCCTCCCTCCCTCCCTTCCTTCCTTCCTTCCTTCCTTCCTTCCTTCCTTCCTTCTTCTGAATTTAGACTCCTTGTTAACAATATCTAAGCAGCACAATGAAAGTAAACACATAACTTTAGCTATAGATTCATGAACACAAAAATTATCCTCTATAATATGAAGTGGAAATAAGAACCTCACTATGGAAGTATCATGTTATTCTCATTGATTAAGAAAACACAAAAATAATTTCTTTCCTTACCTATAGATCTGACCGAGTGATTTCCCAGCAAGACTTTTCAGTTTCTCCTTCCCAGGATTTAGAATCCTTTGTTTTACCGACTCCATTTCTGTAAAGATTTCAAGTGTCTTTCACCAGATTAACAAGGATGCCCTTACAAGCCTTGAAGGTGGATCATATTGGTTCCATTTCAAGCTTTTTTCCATAAAATAATGTTGTTCATCCAGATAAAAGGACGAGTCAAAATCTTCGTGTGTGTGTGTGTGTGTGTGTGTGTGTGTGTGTGTGTGTGTGTGAATGTGTGTAAGAGAAAGTGTGTCTGTGAGAGAGGAGAGAGACACTGTATATGTATATCAGTGGGTGAGGCGGGAAGAAACAGAGCCAGAAAAAAAGAGAGATGATTGAGTGTCTACCTGAAGCCCATGGGTTTCTTAAAAGAACAGAAGTTGTGAGGCTGAACTAAAAGGTCCTCTTAGAGATGAAGAATCCATTAGCAAAATGACAAGCAAAACCATTGGTACTTCGAAGGAGACTTGATTGAAAGTCTAATGTAAATATAATCCTTATCTGGTGTGGATTGTTTTGCTGTGGTTGTGTATATAGAGGTAGAGAGTCGTCAAAGACAATAAATCCCATATGCATAGAATCCTTACCAGTGCTCACACCAGTTTGAATCCCTGATAACTGTGCTACGTACTCTGGCAGAGAGGCAGCACTAGCATTTCATTATTTGTGTGCCAATACATCAGCTACTTCATCCAGGGCTGGAAAGAGTAAATTAAAGTAAATGTGGGAGGATCGCACATAGCACAAATGGGTGACTCTTCTCCACTGCACCTCCTCTTCAATGTTCCCCCCTGCCCCCAGAGGTTTCAGTACCATCAACAGCGCCGTGTCAATACAGTGTCCTCTAGATTGTTTTCAGCACCACGGAGAGCGCAATCGGAAGCTTTCCTCCACCATCAACGTTCTAGGGGAATTGGGCGGACTCATTACAATGAAGTCAATGAAGAGTGGGTGCCATGGAAACCAAAAGGAGCCAGTCAAGATTCGCCCTCTCCAGGTTTTCCAAGAGCAACACACTTTGCAAAAAAAATAGGGGTTTGCTGGCAATTAATTTTAGGATTTCCATGTCTGACTCCATTTTTTTGACGCATAGACTGACCCAGTTGCGCAGTGCAAACACCACCTAGCATTCCCATAGTTTTTGCTGCAGTAAAACAAAACTGACAGAACACTTCTTGCCAAGAGAATATGCCCTTTTAAGTTATGAAGCTGGACATCTAGGCAAACAAATCACCAAATCAACTAAAGCCTCACAAATGGGGCTGCATATAATTTCTTTGTATAACTGGAAAATGTCACAATATAGACATTATATTATACAAAAAGATGTTAAATGGTATCTGCTTATTGCTGGAGATACAGAGTCCACAGCTCTGCCAGATCTATTTCAGAGGGCTAGGAGAGGAATATAATCTGGGGAAGCTTTGAAGAGAATGGTGGTGTGTCAAATAGAAAATAAAAACTTACATTTTATTAATGCAGTTTGGCTGCTAAACACATGGAATACAATCTAAAAATTATGAAATTTGACACCTGTTTCTTTTATCACATAGCTGATCAGCTTGAATAGCATGCAGGTTTATATAACGCATCTTCCACTCTTATATTCAAATTTGTTTTCTTTTATTCAAATATAAGTTGACATTCCTCTTCATTTGTTGAATTCAAATATAGGTAGAATAAAAATCTACTCACAGTGATGGTTACATTCCTGAAGGCTCAAGCTTATTTCTTATTCATTCAACAATGGATTTCTCTAATGTTTTCTTATAACAGTGATATTATAACATTGGGGTTAGGCCTATCAGTTTGAAAATACAAAACGTTGGTATTTTTTTTTTTTTTCTGTGACAGAAAGATTTTACTAAAGATGCCCTCTGGTGGAAGGACAATGATGTTTGGCAACATTCTCTCTCATTAATTTACAATGATGCCATTGATTCTGACAATTTTGCCCCGTCTTTCTAAAATGGCATAGACAATTACATTGAAATGGGAACTGTTTAATTAAAAACAATGGGAACAGCTTTAAAGTTTTATGCATTATAATTTCCAAGCAAGTGATTTGTTTAATCTTAGTTATTATCAGATGTTCGCTGCTTTCGATATTTCCTTAATTTGTATTTCCATCTCCCTTACTTAATTTGTCCTTAAGTGCCTGAATTTGGGGCCCTTTTCTCAAACCTGTAAACAAACAAATCTCTGAATACACTTAATGTTTATCATCTGTGCACTACCGGCTCCCCCCAGCCAGCCCTATTTTGTCACCAGGCATCCCAGATGCTCCCTCATTCTTCCTCTTTCCACATATTATAAGCTTCCACCATTACCTCTTCTTCCCCCTTCTCCTTGGCTGGCCTGCAGAATTGCCTGCCACTTTGTTATGGGAAGGGAAACAAAGGAACCATGGACCACAAGAAAAAGTGCACCTCCATTCCCCATTCTGCCATGTTCCCAAAGCGCCCCTCTCTCTCCAGGGAGAAAGAGAACTCATATGTTGTCTTGAATTCTTGAAGTATGTTTTGAAGTATGTCTTGAATTCCTGAACAAAGATGGAATACAGGTATGTGTGCATGTTTATGTGCCAGAGAAGGGCAATAAAAATATCAAGACTTTTCTTTGTATACTTAAAGTTGTTGCTTCTTTAAGAGTCACATGTTGAGTAAATTCCTTGTTGCTGGGTGAGGGAGGAGCAAGGGATTGTGGGACTGACTGAGAAACTGTCACAGACAGTTGAAAATGAAGATCATATGAAGGAGCAGCAACAGCACAACAGAATCAGTAGCACTGAGGCAACTACAATTCCCCAAATTTCATTCCCTTGGGAGTTATGGGCATTGGACTTTGGACACTTTCTGTAAGAAGCCCATTTGAGATACCTTGATTTCTAAAATTGAGTTAATTTAGTTGATTAACTATTCATACAATCCTCCTATATATTTTATATCTTGGAATATTCTCTCTAAACCCTCTTTTATTATTTATTTAATACTGAAACGTTTAGGATGTTGTTTTACAAGTTACTATAAATAAACCGATGATCCTTATTCATTGGGAGAAGAGGAGAAGACAACAGATATCACTGAGAGGCATCATCTACACATCTTTGATTCTAGTCATTCATAATGTAATAATAAAAATCATTTGTTTCTAGATGACTAGGGTTGCTTGTACTGCTAGCGTTCCTGCCCTTGTGTCAACAATACTCTGATTCTGACTGCAGAAGCAATGATGCAAAATTCCCATTCATGATAAGAATATCTATGAGTTCTCAGACAGCATGATTCTAGATTCTGCTTAATCCATGGACTCTTTTCAGTTTAAGAATAAATTTTGGAAGCAATTAAGATCAGATGGGGAGAAGAGAAGGAGGGAGAAGGAGAGTGAGAGAGATTCCAGAGAATAAGATCCATTGAACGTGGTTTTTCCAAATTTCTGAATAGGACAGATTGAGAAGGAATTTCCCCTTATGTTAATTATGCAAGTTACTATTTTTGCTGATTCATTGTCGCAAATAGCCCTGTCCCTGTACTTCTAGCAAAAGTTCATTTTTAAAGTAGTAGTAGTAACAACAACAACGATGATGATGATGAGGATGAGGATGATGATGGAAGGGATTTTGGAGATCATTTAGTCCAACCCCCTGCTCAGGTAGAAAACCCTATACCATTTCAGACAAATGGCTGTCCAGTCTCTTCTTAAAAACTTCCAATGTTGGAGCATTCACCTCTTCTGGAGGCAGGTTGTTCAATTGATTAATTGCTCTATATGTCAGAAAGTTTCTCCTTAGTTCTAGGTTGCTTCTCTCTTGGGTTAGTTTCCATGCATTGCTTCTTGTCCTGCCTTCAGGTGCTTTGGAGAATAGTTTGACTCCCTCTTCTTTGTGGCAGCCCCTAAGATATTGGAACACTGCTATCATGTCACCCAACATCTTTCTTTTCATACACTTCATATACTTCTCTTCATAGTCTCTAGTGTATGGGGTAGTCTTTGTTTATATATACATAATATACATAATAATTCAAAAAGCCTCATTTATTCTATGACAAATTTCATGGAAAAGAATAAGAATATCAGATAAGTAGTTAATTGCATAGAAAATGCAATACCAGGCTCAATTTCTGGAAAGGCAAGTCTTCACAAGGGCAAATACTTTGATTAATTCAGCCAACAATACACCTCATTTCCTTCTTTAGGATTTTGTTTTAATGATCTGGTCACCAAGACTTGTAATCCAATAATTTCTCTGTGTGATGCTCAGTTGTGGAAGAAGTTGGAAGTTTCCTTTTCACTAGCCTTTTCAAGAAGCCATATCACTTCTATTTAGAAATGCAGCTTATCATCCATACAAAGAATTCTTTGTCCCTTCACCACAAAATAAAAATAAAGATTATGCTAAATAATGCTCATGCTGCAGGACTAATTTATTTTTATAGCTTGCTCATGAGTCTTCTTTACACATTCAATTTGAATGCAGAGACTGAAGAATTTTGAGATGTTAAAAATGTAAATGGGATTTACCGACTAATTCTTATGGGTGAAGCACTAAGAAAAACAACCTTAATAATAAAGTGAAATATTTAAGACAGCTGCCTCCACCCAACAGTGAAATTTCTGATTGTGCTTCACAGAAGATACAACAGATTTTTCTAAATTCCAACATGGTAATTTTCAGTGAAGATGTTAGATCTTACTGAAGTCCTTTAACCAATTCAGTTCAAATAGAACTGGAAGGGACCTTGGAGGTTTTCTAGTCCAACACACCACCACCCACCCAGCTCAACCAGGAGACCCTATACCATTTCAGACAAATGGCTATCCAGTCTCTTCTTAAAAGCTTCCAGTGATGGAGCACCTGCAACTTCTGAAGGCAAGCAGTTCCACTGGTTAATTGTTCTCTTAATTGTTGGAAAATTTCTCCTTAGTTCCAGGTTGCTTCTCTCCTTGATTAGTTTCTGTCCATTGTTTCTTGTCTTGCTTTCTGGTGCTTTGAAAATAAAGTTACCCCCCCTCTTCTTTTTGGCAGCCCTTCAAATACTGGAATATTGCTATCATGTTACCCTGTTATCATGTCACTTTTTTTCTCTAGATTAGCCATACCCAAATCCTGCAATGGTTTATCATATGTTTTAGTCTCTAGTCTATGTCCTTAATCATCTTAGTTGCTCTTCTCTGCACTTTTTCCAAAGTCTCAACCTCTTTTTTGTAAAATGGTAACCAAAACTGGCTGCAGTATTCCAGGTGTGGTCTTACTAAGGTTTTATAAAGTGGTATTAAACTTCATGTGATTTTGATTCTATGCTTCTGTTTATACAACCATGCCCAAATAACAATGGATTTACAGTTAAAACAACACTGAGTTTTGGATTTCATGTTTTATTTACAAAGATAAAGATAAAAAAAGATAATTGCCAGCTACCAAAAAAATATTTGCTGCTTCTGTTTTATCTTATCATTAGATCAAACTTGAAAATTTAAAATCCATATCCTCCATATACTTTGGAAAACATGCCTTTTCCACATCCCCAACTTTTATTTCTTGGTGAGTCAGTGCTAAAGTGGGTCAATGCTAAAGCACATATTTCTAGAGAAAAGATTTCATATAGCCAAAGAAACAAAAATGAGTCACAATATAAAGGAACAAAAATGAGGTTTTAAGAGGTTTGGATAGAGTTTGAAATTCAATGATTATGTATGCTGCTTCCTTGCATAAACCTAACTGATATTGTTTCCTCTGCTCTTCCCAAGGACAGTGTTTAAACAATGCATTGTTAAATGTAGTTGGAAGAGTGTTTTTGATTTTTTTTTAGGTCATCAGTAATGAATGCAGCAAGGGTTTGTATAACAGTGCAAAATACCAGGGTGCCAGAGATTTGCAAGTTTCTAGATAGGGCATAGCAAATTGAATGGCAAG